TGTTTTTGAAAGTTTTTCCCTCCCCCCCCCCCCCCCCCGAGTAGTAAAAGGTTGTCCCCAGAAGAGATAGTGAGGGAAACTCTCTCTAATGGAACCCCATATAGAAGTAAAACGTGGCATGGGTTCAGCCTCCCCAACACTATGAAAATCCAAATTATTTGTAAATCTTATAAATTTCAAAGAGCATTTCCACACTAACAGGAAGACATTTGTAATGCAGTTTTTAGCTCCACATTCAATGCATCAATTTAAGTTATAAATCCCAGATTTATTGTGTGCTTTAACAATTTAAATATATGCCTAAATCACAAAGTGTTACTTATTTTACGAGCAGCCTCAGTTGCGCCTGGAACAGCCCTTTTCTTGCACATAAATACTCCATATGTGTGCAAATAACCAAAACCTACAATGGGTTGGACTGAAAGGAAACATCATGAAGCGCAATGTTAAGGAGAGAGAATATAATAATGAAGAGTGCACAAAAAATGTGTACAAGGCAGAAAATGTTATAAAGGAGATCTTGCGCCATAAAGCTGAACTCCAGGCAATCACCTTGCACAGGTGAAATACATATGGAATCTGTTTTCTGTCCCAAACGACTGCTCACCAGCCCAGAAGACCCTGACAGAAAGCACACCCAGATTCTCCACCTCCACTGCAGCACCACAACAGGATGGTGAAAAATACAACCCCAACTTGCTTATTGAACGATAAAGAAGTAACAGTACACTGATAAGTGATCACACTGGTCTCTCTGCTCTCTCCTCATATCAGTATGTTTCGCGTTGCCACATAAGAGACTGACTAGATCCTAGAGGTGGCCCTCTCTCATTGTGTGTGTTATTGCACCTGGGATTAGAGGAGATTGCTATCTAGACAAGTCAGGCATTTACACTAAGTGCATTTAAAGACACAATTAAAAGGTAATTTGTACTAATACATGATGGCATTCCTCCCGCTGAAAACGCTTATTGTCTAGCTGACTCAGGTATCAAGTACTTTCTGGGACACTAACCTTTAACGAGCATGCATATCGAATCAAAAACTCAGACCTTCTAGACTGCATATGACTTCTGGAACAGTAAATCCGAGCTACTGAAACCACGGGTTCAGCATAAAACACTTTCAGAAGGGAAGGGCAGCAATGGCAACCTCTAAACTTCCTCAGTAGAAGATAGTTTTCAGGAAAACAAATTTTGTAATAACGTTTTGCTCAGTCTGGTCATTTTTCTTGCTCCACAGTGCCCAGCTTAAAGAGAAACTATCACTTTCACCAAATTACAATCCCAACCAATGGCATTCACAAAGTGATGGAACAGTTTCTGAACAGTGACACTCTCCTACGTATCTGTAAATAGAATACCAAACTGAGCATACATACACCAAAGGTGTATGCAAAGCCTTACAATGAACTTCTCTTACTTCCTCTCTTTTTGGTCTGGTAAATATACCATTGGAAGCATTTTGTTATTTCAATGCAGAAAAACTGTTGACCTCATCAGAAATTCAGATCTGTCCCGTGTACACTGCACACTTTCAATGTTATCTCAAACAGCCCTCCTAGTTATTTTGGACAGCAGATCGATGAGCCTTTATGTTGTAGAAATCTGAGAGACGAAGTGGTTTAGCAAAAAAACAAATAGGAGGGATGACACCACTCAGTGCACAAAAAAAGCTGTGTGTTGTCAGCCACCACAGGACTTAGGAGCCGAGTGCATTTCTGGCAGATCAACAGGTATTTTTCTGTACTTGGAGGGTGTGAAAAAGGATAAAACACAGGGCAGTGTGCATGCATTGCAGAAATGTACTGTAGTGTTTTTATTTTGCTTTGACACAAGCCTTAAAAGAGAACTATGACCAAACCTTTTTTGGCCATAGTTCTTTTTAGGGTTACAGGAGGACATTTATTAATGGAGCACATTTACTAATATGATGACAGCGCAGAGCCGCGCTGCAGCCGGGAAAGATCCCGACAATATTTAGTGGGATCTGCCCTGTTGTCTAATTGACAGCTAGCTCTGCCTTCCCCCTCCCTCATCTGTCTCTCCAGTCAGTGCTAGAGGAAAGGAGAGGGGAAGGGGGCATCCCTGCAAGGAGGAATGGCTGACAGTCATCACTTTCTGAAGGGATAAGATAGTGAACTGAGCGATCAGCAGTTTGTGATTGCTCAGTTCTCGATCAAAAGAGCCGTCGTGTGACACCTGCAGTGTTGCATCGACTTTATCTATTGGGATGAGTGCATTTCACTTTCCCCTTAATTCTCCTTTAGTATGGATATCAGCCATGTAAATAGATGAAGTCCTTATTATTTGCAAGGGGCTACGTACTCACCTGTGACATTATGACTTTAGCAATTAGAAATGCACTGGTCACCAGGGTTGTGATCTGAAAGACATCAAAATGATTCAGTTATTCTTCCCTTTGATTGTAGTTTTCAGTACAGGGTTTACAAGAATAAAGCATTAAAAGGTTAAAAGGTAACTTGTTAAAAGGTAACTTGTCATAAGAGAACCCCATAATTCTCTCAAGGAAGGTTTACTTATTTAAGCTGTCAAACTAACCTTTGCATGGAAAAACCATCACAGGGTACCCCCAACTTGTCAATACATTGCTTCAGATCATCTAGATGGTTCCAGAGCCATGAGTATCTATATGCAATTCTAAAGGAGAATTATAGGGAGAGTGAAATACACTCATCCCCATAATTAGAGGCAAAGGCTTACACTGCAGCTGTCACACGTCGGCTCTATAGATCAGGAACTGAGCAATCATATGCCGCTGAGTTCCCGATCTTCTCCCTGCAGAGTGGTGAATGTCAGTCCCCTCCTCTCCGTTCCTCCAGCGTTGACTGCAGGGACAGACTGGGAGGGGGCGGGCACAGCTGGCATTGGTTATAGAGAGGCAGAGCCAGCGGGGTGGATTCCAACAATATTGTTGTGATACATCCCGAGTGAAGCGCGACACTGCATTGTCAGCATATAGCAGGCAATAGCCCTATAGGCTGAATTATGGGTCACAGGAAGACATTAGTTTATGTCCTCCTGTGACCCAATAGAAAACTATGGCAAAAAAGAGTTGGGCCATAGTTCTCTTTAACATTTAAAAAATGTTACACCCTCCACTTCAACTTAAAATGCATTGTGCAGCTTTAGAAACCTATTAAGAAAAACCATGAACGGGGTTCAAAGGCCTTACAGGACAACTGCATTATACACATTTTGACTTGGAAAAGGAAGTTTAATGATCCTCCTACGGCTGCACATGTATTGAAAGTGGCTAGTTATGTTCCCTTTTCTTGCGGTGTGTGGTCAGCTTATATTTGCTGGAGCAACACTCTCACTTCCGCCATCTTCTGGACATGCCTTTGCACTGCAGTGTGACTACAAACCTGGTTCTAAGAAACTCTTTTGCTGCCAAGGCCTTTTTTGCAATTTATGCACACGTTATAATTCACATTTTAGGCCTGAAAATGACTTTAAAAAAAACCAAACAAACATGATATATTTTCTGAAAGCCAAGACTCTGATGCACTCCGGTGCATGTGGTGATACCAAACATGTGTAGCGCAACTGTCATTTTCATATATAGGCGCACCCGAACCCAACGCCTGTTTACAATAGTATGCGCTCGCTTGCGGGGGACTTTTGAAACAATTTTACATTATTTTTACATTTATTTTATTTAAGCCCATTTTTTCAAAACTTTCCACTCCCAAATAAGCTATTGGAGCCAAATCGTGCTCCAATATGTTATTTGCCCAGCTTTTGTAGCCGAGCAATGACAGCTGAGGGACCAGAAGTGGTGCAATCCCATAGAGTGTAGAGGAGATCGGTGAACGAATGTTTGCCGGTCTTCTTCCCAGCTTCCCACCAACACCAGAGATGCTGGTCCTGGAAGGGGCAGAAGGGGGTCAAGCAAGGTGAGATGTGAGGGTGTTGGCCTGGGGGAGGGGTGGGGGGTAGCCGCACTACACTGGGCTGTGGAGATCTGGCAGCTGCTTAGCTACCGGAATCACTTCCAGAGTACAGCAGACAGTTGGCTTTATACATGTAAACAGAGTCCCAGCGGCTATAGCAGAGTCTGTTTAGAGGGGCCCACTGCCACCGATGTATGACATATGTCGGTGGCAGCAGAAGGGTTAAAGTAAGGTAAGTGCATGCAGCCTGTGCGTGATCAAAAGTATTTGCTGTCTGGCTATTCCGTTTTAGATCACCTTCTGAAATCAGCTTCCTACTAAATGTACTACATCTCTTAACTAGTGATGAGCTGGGGCTTGGTGTAACTATCAGTTGCCACAAGTGCATTGCCCACCTCACAGTTTGATGGAGGGTAACTTGGACATCCTCAGGAGTCCACAGGCACTCTGCACAAACATATTGACAAACTCAGCATACCAATCAGGTCCCTGTAAACAGAGGTCTGTCCTGCTTTTTGCTGAAAGGGAACATGGGACATGTGATCCCCTTCATGCTAATCAATAGAAAGGTTCTAATCAAACAATTTCCAGTGAAAGAAATGCTTGCAGTTACCTTCTTTTAAAGCACAATCTCTTGCACAGAAACTTCGGACCCAGACTCTCAGGAGGGAAAGAGTAAAAGGTGCCCATACACTGCACGATTCTCGTACGAGAATCGCGGGAAATCCTGTGCTCGTACGAGAATCGTGCAGTGTATGGAAGGCATGCGACCGTTTCTACTGTACGGTCGCACGTCTTCTGTCGAACCAGCATGCTAGAAAACCCGCCGGGAATCGTACGATTCTCGGCGAGTTAGTGGCCTGCTGGTTCGACAACTGCCGAACGGGCCGGTGTGCTGCCCGTTTGCAGTCATCGTAAGCCCGCCCCTCATTACAGTCATCGTAAGCCTGCACCTCAGGGGGGCGGGCTTGCGATGATCGAGAGTACGATCTGCCTGTCCAAGATGGGGAGATCGTACGTTTTTTTAAGTACTTTACAACCATCGCAAGACTAAGGTCTTGCGATGGTTGTAAAGTGTATGGCCACCTTTACAGGGGGGGAGAGTCACGTGTGTAAAGTTCACCATGAGCCAATTGTTTGTGTAAACCACACCTTAAAAGCAGGTAACAAAACAAACTGCAATGCCCACCTACTATCTGGATATGACAAAGCAAAATATTCACATTCAATATTCACAAGAAAATAAAGATAAGCATAACCGATAAGGAGGACAGAGAACCTGAATACTGCTAGAAGCTGAAGAAAGAGCACAAAACATTTTAGGAAATTATTCCAGCCTAACATTCATCATTAACACATAAACCTCAGGATTATCCTGAATATAATACTCAAATGTGATCACATACAGCCATGCAAGAAAAAAAAAATACCCCATGGAAATTGCTGACTTTTGCAACATATTTAACCCCTTGCAAACCAACCACTTGCCAAGCCCTCCCCTTCCTCTTACATCAGAGGCAGGGGAGAGTAAAGGGAGTAATGAATGGATGAGTGATCTAGTCATTACTTCCTAGTGAAAACAAGCTGCAGCAAAAAAAAAAATATAACCCTTTTAACTTTCCCTCCCGTATATTAACCCTTTCACGTGCCTCATCCTGTACATTAACACCTTCATCTCCAACCTCCCACTGTATGTGATCTGTACATTAACCCTTTCACCTCCTCCTCCCTCTGTCTTTGTACATTTATTGCACCTTGTGCACTATTACCGGGCTCCATGTTTTAACCCCCTCAATGCCGGCATGTTTCCAAAAAAGAAAAAAAAAACAGATCACCATGGAGTGCCTACTTTCAAAAAAGGGATTTTCATACTGTCCTGACATTTCTAAACAAAAGAGAAACAGGCCTTTTTTTTTTTTTTTAAATGTTTTTGGTATTTTTTTACTTTATATAGTAAACTTAAAAAAAAAAAAAGCTGTCATTAAGTTATTCAACATAAATATCAATAGACCTAGTGTTTACCCCAGGCCTCAAAATCATGCAAGAGCTGTCTATGCTCCCCCCTCTTCCTTCTCTTAAGACAAAGCTGAGCAAATGTTTACAAATTAGACTGAATGTAATTTTGCTTAATGGTAATCAGATCTTGCATGCTCTTTTATGGCTAAAGTTTCATAACAAGAGAAAGGACTTGTTTCCCTATACTATACTCTGCCATAATTTATAAAGCAGCAGTGTAGAAACTACGTGTTCTTACTACTGGCCCAGATTTAGGAAATTTGTAAAGCTTAATTACCACCAGCCAGTACCAGAACTAGCAGCTGTAACCAAAAACAAGCTTTCAGCAAGTCTAGAGTAGACATTCTAGACTTGAAAGATGATTGTTTCAATACTCCGAGTCCTAACCCACACCCTGAAAATGAAATATTTACCTCAGCTCCAGAAATTGTTGATCTGGGATCTCACAGTGGCCTAGGCATTTGGTTACATATTCGCTTATGAAGGGTAGTGTCATGGGTTCCCTGCCCTTCTGCTCCCCACACCACCTACGTGCCAGGAGAGAGAACGCCAGCCGCCATCCTATGCCCCAGTGCCTGCACCCCCTAAGTGTCAGGCAGTCTAGGTTCCCTGCATGTGGATTCAACACATGCAGGCCAGCCTGTGACCTCAGCGGGTGCTGCACTGTCCCAGCAGGTATGGCGCAGCCCCGCTTCCTGCACTGCTCTCCTCTGTTGGGCTGCGTTATCAGATGCGGCTGAGTCGAAAGGGGGTGGGGCTTGTTGCCAGGGGAACCCGACACTAAGCATCGTATTCCCCGGTGATGGGATCACGCCCCAGCTCAGGGGTTAAATACCTGAGCTGGGGCTCTCTAAAAGTCCACCTTGTGCCCTGCTAACTTGCCTGGTGGCTTTGGCTGCGGCCAGGTCACGCAGGACCATCCGCTCCTGATCCTGCTTGAACACTAAAAAAGAGGCTCCACAGACCTCCTCCTGCCTTACCATACCATGCGGATCCCTATCCTTCTGTGGAGTGGCCTGACACTTAAGTGAGACCCTGTTTTGTTGTAGCTTGCTGCCATTAACCCTTTGCTGTGCCCAGATTGCTGCCCTGTGTCCCTGGACTCTGCCCATGCTGTTCCTTGCTGCTGTTAACCCTGTGCTGTGCCTGTATTCCTGCCCTGTGTCCCTGGACTCTGCCCATGCGGTTCTTTGCTGCCATTAACCCTTTGCTGTGCCCAGATTGCTGCCCTGTGTCCCCAGACTCTGCCTGTGCTGTTCCTTGCTGTTGTTAGCCCTTTGTTTTGCCCTGATTGCTACTATATTTGCTGTATCCTATTGTTCAGAACCCCTAATAAAGAACCCCTGGTCAAGAGTCCTGAAAACCACTCTCGACCTCTGTGTGTGTTCTGCTACCCTGCACACATCTGTCACAGGTAGGACCAGCCAAACTCAGTTCAATACCTAGTAATTTACTCCTATGACTGGCAGTTGTGGGGTCGCAGAAAACCAGTTTCTGCAGCAATGGTATAGTAGTAGGTGTCTTATGTGATGATGTGGCCATTTAAAGGACAGCTGTACCTTTATAAAATAAATTATCTAAGTGAGAAAAGACTAACATTGGGCTTCCAATCAGATCTGACAGGTGGACCGGATTGGACTGCCCGTGTGTAAGGGGTCTAAAACTTTATCTCTGTGCAGGTATTTCCCCTAATAAAGACCGGTTACTGCTGCTCTCTCTCCTTGCACAGGGTATCTGCCCCCCTCCTGTATTGTTCTGGAAGCAGCCTGGGTCCCTCCCACAGCCCTGATCTCTGCACAGGCTATCTACAGTGCAGTGATGATGTAGCTGTTATGTTTATAAGGTAATATCGGCGTTTGCAAAAGCTAGATTTATATCCTTTGTGGCTGTTGAGTAATCTGTTTGAACTCAAAAAGTGTGCTGGCAATGCTGTATTTCAGAAAATCCAAGGAGCCTGGGGCTGTCTACAAAATTATAATAAAATATTTTGGAGAACACGCAAAAGAATCACTGCTCCTCCATGGCTCAGAAAATGAATGAGCCGGGTGCTTGTCGCTGGGAGCACATCCTCGCTACAATTTGAGCCCATACCAACAGAAGAATGCTTGTGGCACACTGGATTCTGCTGGGATAGTTTATTGAAGGTTGTACCACATCACTAGACAGAAATAAAACTGGTCCTTAGAGGCTTGGGAACTTCATGAAATGTAAGTACAACTTTTATAAAAAAAGCATTGCATTTATTCTTAAAATGAGTCTGGTGTTTTGGTATGCTGCCTATTTAAGATAAACAATGCCAAGTGAAGGTATATGCACTTGTACGAAAGTACATTAACATCTAGAGCCTGTCAATCACCTCTAGAAACGTCTTTGCCTTCAGAATGCAGAGCATCAAAAATTGAGGCTGTGCTACAGGTCAGGGGTCGCCAACCACTGGGCCGTGGACTGGTACCAGTCTATGGCCTGTTACCAACTGGTCCGCAGCCACCGGCAGTCTCCCGGGCAGTCCTGCTCCCAATCGAGGGCCGGAGAGGAGGAGAGTGGGGGCAGCGCAGACAGCACAGCCAAATCCGTGAGGACAGCAGAGCAGTGCGGCTCTCTGTCAATGCAGAGCTGAGCAGCATGGCCGTGTCAGTGAAGAGACAGAGTGTGGCCTTGTGGGGGGGTGATGGCCGAGTGGATGGGCTGACAGCTCTGCACCGAGCCAAGAACATGTTATAAAGTAATGACCCATATAGTGTGTGCAGGCATCTCCTACATGACCTCCCTTCATATTACACACACAGCAGCCTGGACTTCCCCCGTCTGCCCTGTGTTATGTTATCTGCCGCACACAAATTACTACCAACCACACCCTCCCACCCCACTACCCCTTAACATCAACACCCCACACACCCACTCCTTGCTACCCCACCACAACCCCACACCTGCCACCCCACCACCGCTAACGTCCCCAGCCCCCACTTCAGGTCTGCAAAACAATTTTCATCAACAATACCAGGCCCTGGTCTAAAAAAAGGTTGGTAATCGCTGCTGTAAGTCATTAGTAAGAACGGGCCCCTGTGACCAGCCAAACTTTCCATCAACTCTTTATGAATGACTAGCATTAACAGAGCCACAGAGCAACAATGCTGCTTGGAATGTAAACTTAGGAGATGCAGGATCAAACCAGGACTATGTATAGTGAACAATGCCATGGCCAGACAGGAAGTGCGAGGTTATTGGTTAACAACAATATGTCAGCTGATGGCTAAAAAATAACAAAACTTACAAATATGTCAAAGAATGAGGTGTTGAACTTGTAGTAGATGATTTCATTTTCCAGGTTCTTCTCGATCCCATTATTAGACTGTAAAAAAAACAATGTCAACACACACTGATCAAAGCGTATATTTAAATCACGGTTATTAAAATGGGAGAGAGAGAGGAGAGAGGAGAGAGGAGAGAGGAGAGAGGAGAGAGGAGAGGGAGAGAGAGAACTGCATTTATACAGCTACTGGATAGCAGTGTCACTGAACTGAGGAGCTCAGCTGTCATTACAAGGCAAAAAAGTTAAACATTGTCCACACTGGCTGTGCATATAAAAGAAACACCTAGTGACTACAGGTCAGCTACCGGAATCATGTTAGGCTTATAGGCAGTTGGATGTAAGCAGATGTGTGCTTGATTACATCAGATTACTCCCGATCCGTCACCATCGGGTCCACCAAAATGGAACTCTGTTCTGTTTGGTTTTCTGGACATGGACGAAGCCAAAGGTAATCAGATTTTAATGGACGCACGTCCTTTTAGATCTGGCTGCCCACAGACTAACACTGTACTTTCGATCAAATCCACTCGACTGACAGGTGGATCTGATGGGAACGTGGTGTGAAAGGGGCCTAACTTGTCTTGATAAATGAAAACAAGTTTGTCTGTGATGCAAGGTGTAGCGATACAAAGAATAAAAAGTACATTTGCACATGGCGGGGAACGGTTGAAGCTAGTGTCAATGTTATTAACGTTCAGCTGCTGCAGTTTGCTCCCAATCTTCTGAAAAGACAGCTGCTTCTCTGCAGTCTAAACAGTGAAGTACATACCAAGGGTGATAATGATATCCAGGGAAGACCAGTGTGGAAAAAAGTCCTGCAATAGATTCTGTATAATCACACTCGTGGCCAGCGATGCAGTGGGTCGGCAGACAAAGCCCAGACGCATATTGGGGCTGATTCGCTACCCTTCCAAGTATTAAGCCCATGACACACTGTATGTGAAGCCGTATGAAGTAAAGCTGTCAGGCGCGGAGCTTCACATGCAGTTTTGCGAGCCCTTGAAAGCCGACGTGCCGGAGTGAAAGTTACATGACACACTGCACGCGCAGGCAGCGCGCCACCGCTCCGTGCTGCTTCATGTGCAGTGTGTCACAGCCTATAGACAGGTTGAGACAGTCGGCTTCTTCCTATAACTAATCTGCTTAACCCTTTCCTTTCCAGTTAAAGGCACTTTTGGTGCATCCATAATAGAGGCAGCAGGCAGCCATATTACTTCATTAAATAACTCTGCGCTGACAGTTAGTGATAGACAAACAAGTGTTCAACATGGAATACATTTAAAAATTAAATTTAATATGGGAACATAATGAACAAAAATGTGGAATAAAATAAAACTAATAAAATCTAAAATAGAAATAAACTCTCTGGAAATATTCCAAATAGTACGGTAAATAGGGCTGCAGCTAACGATTATTTTCATAAATCGATTAGTTAGCCGATTATTGAGTTTGATTAATCGACTAATCGGATTTTTTTAAAAAAAAAACAATCGACGATGGAAAACGTTGGCAACGTTTTCCATCGTCGATTTTAATCGACTTAATCGAATAATTGTTGCAGCTCTAACGGTAAATATGATCAATTAACTCGGCCTTGAGTGTGAAGGAGTCTATATAGGCTCTATCCTAGGACTTTTTTCCACGCTGGTCTTCCCTGATATCATTTATAAACCTTGGTATATACTTCCCTGCTTGGGCACGAGAGATAATGGTGGTCTTGTCAGGAGAACAACCTGCAGTGGCTGCAAGGTAAATATGCTACTACACTGGCACAGACTTCAATCCTTCAATATGGAAAAGCACTTTATATAACTATGGCTTGCATCACAGCAACTTCATATACTTCTTCTGAGGTGAGCATGGCAGACAAACTTGTATCTATTTGTTTTATCATCAACATTCTGCAAAGTCCACACTTTCCTTGAACCCTATCGTGACCAGAAGTCATTAATGCTTAGATGCCCAGATAAAATTTAGCAGTGTCAGCAGGAATCTGATACCATGACAATAACTTTTTTTTAATAAAGCTTTTATTGGTACAATATTGTAATTAAAAAAATTTACATTAATTTATTATTTTGAATAATGTTACTGTATCTGACAATTACACTATTAACCGCTTGAAGACCAGGTGTTTAGACCCCCTTCCTGGCCAGGCCATTTTTCAGTATTCAGCGCTGCGGTACTTTGACGTTTATTCTGTCATACAACGCTGTACTGAAATGAATTTTATACCATTTTTTGGGGACAGATAGAGCTTTCTTATGGTGGTATTTAATCACCACTGAGGTTTTTAATTTTTACTATATTCAGGAGAAATTACTGGAAAAAAGTTTTTTTTTACATAATGTTATAAAACAACTAATATTACCCACTTTTTTGGTAAAATATAAAAGACGGGGTCACGTTGGGTAAATAGACACCAAACATGTCGAGCTTAAAAATTGTGCGCACTCGCAAAAAACTAGCATACCCAAAATTGGCCATAGCCGATGCTTTAAAAGCTTTTACTGCTCATCAGTTTAGTGTGATCAGTGATTGATGCCCCTAAAATGATTGCTCTCATTGCGATGTTCGCGGCGATATGTAACACGTGCGGCGTAATGGGCGCAATCGTCGTTTTCGCAGGTATGCGCCCCTGACGCATGTTTACATGTGTGTATGTAAGGGTGGGGACTTTAAAAAAAAAAAAAAATTGTAATTCTTTTTTATGTGTAATTTAAAATTTTATGGGGGGGAAACTTAAAATTTTTTTCCTATTTTTTTTTCCACCTAACGTTATTGCTGTCACAGAGGTGGCTAAGAAACCCCTATATGTGATATAGCTGGAGAGTGACACGAGAATGTGGAAGTGATGTAGTATACACCATTTCCGCATTCTGACAGCGGAGAGGGGACTGGAGGGAGATCGTGAACCGACCTCCCTCTAATCCCCACTCAGAGAGCCACTATGCTGGTCCCGGGCTCGCACCAGGCACAGCGGAGCCCGGGATCAGCGTGACAGCGGGAGGGGGCGCACATATCAGGACCTCATACAAGCGATCCGCCGGCTCTATAGCCGGCGGATCGCTTGTATGTTAACAGGCATCGCTGCCGGTTTTTAAATTATGCGTCTTTCCAGGTCACGCGCCCACGGGTGGGCGAGACTAACAGGACGTGTATACACGCCCAGTTGCATCCAAGAAACTCCTGGCCGGCCATGTATACACAAAGGACGGCCGGGAGGTAGTTAAAGGAGAAATATTGGATGAGTGAAATACACTCATCCCCATAGTTAGAGCCGACATGTGACACTGCAGCTGTCACATGTCTGCTCTATTGACCAAGAACTCAGAGATCACATACCGCTGATTACTCAGTTCATGATCTTCTCCCTGACATAGTGATCAGATGATCAGGAACCAATCTATTCATTTCCCAGTAGTCATTGGGAACCCCAACTATCAAGGAAAGCAAGGACTGAGAGCCAGCAGCAATTCAAAACGATGGCTGTTGGTTCTCAAGGGGGAATGGGACTATTTATTAAGGGGCATCATACTAGGAAACATTAATAAACAGATTGTGGTAGAGAAAGGTTTAACATATCTCAATATTTCATTCAGGGACTACTACCGCTTTAAAAAAGTATTACACTCTCAAACTTTCTTTCCAATAATGAATCCAGAATATATATATAGCCCAGCAAAGTATATTTCTGACCAAGCACTTACAGTCATCATGTTTCTGAACAGCTAGTTCCAACACTCTCAGCTCAGCTTCCCTTAACTTCCTGTCCAGTGCAAGATCACAAAGGACCCACAGACCCTAGCAACTGTTCATCTACTAGCTTGTAGAAGGGTAGAGGGAAGAGAGGGGGGAGGGAACTATAGATTTGCTGTGTCTGTGTGTTTGAGGAGACACACACAGCTTACTAGCACATACAAGGTTGTCTCCATAGTACCCTGCAAGGGAAAGGTGCCACCCTAAAACATGATATCAGGACCAGTGCTAAAGGGACCAGCCGATTCTGCAGGAAGCTTTTAAACATCAAGAAGCAGCATCCATTGTAAGTGATTTCATCAGCATTTGAGTTAGCTTAAAACCGTTTTGACTTTGAAACAAGTTAATGTATCTAGATACAGGCTGTAATCAATTACAATGTGGGCATGAAAAAAAAGAAACCTCAGGCTGTCTCATCTGTCTCTGTATTTCAAGGGTACATTTATATAGGGGTGCAGCTAATGATTATTTCATAATTGATTAGTTCCCTGATTATTTTTTTGAGTCATAAATTAGCTGCATTAAAAAAAAAAAAAAAATCTCTCCCCCCTTTCCCCAACTAATTAATAATGAAAATAGTTGACAACTATTCTCATAAATCGATTAGTTGGTTGCAGCCCTACATTTTTATTCAAGCAGCGGAAAATTTACTAAACAACGAACTGTGTTGGGCAGAACTGTTTTCCTTCTAATTTGCTAACTTCGGACAAGGAAACCAATAGTGGTAAAGATCCGTCATTGTCCATCTGGCTCCAATTTGTTTTCTGAATAATTAAGAACATTTACATGGTGGAATCTAAGACTGTAGGGGGCTTTAGTGGTGACCTGGATAGCTCCAGAATGCAGCAATAATCTGTCCATCCCAATGTATACCATGATAAATCAGATCTACTCTTACATCAGTAGTAAAGGAGCTTGCAATCTAAGTGTCCCATATAGTTTGTTTTGTGACAGATTAATTGTTACCTTCTGATCATGACCCTAGAGAGAAGGTTATTTTGTACTTTGAATGCCAAAAAAGGAGTGTCATGGTTAAATAAAACCTGCGCATTAATTGAGTTGCTTGATAGGCAGCCACGTTACTATTGTTTCTTTGTCCAGCCCCAGAGGAGTTGTGCAGAGGACTTGTAGTTTATAGAAAGTATGTAACTCAGCTTATTCTTGTATACAGGAAAACCAAATCAATATTAACAATTCAAGGCATTGCCCACTCCCACCCATATAGAAATATAATGGCACAGTGCTTTTTACTAAGTTGATACATTTTAATTGGTACTCACATTGAGCTCAATGATCCACAAAAGAGAGATGAAGAGAAGATCAAATGTTACAAATAGGCAAAATGTCCTCCGAACATCAGAAATGGCCCTGCGTTGTGGGAGCAAAAAGAACTGAGAGGACAGGCTTTGGCTTAATGATGAATTAATGGAGGCAATAGCTGGAAGACTCCGTTCCAGGTCAGTCTGAAGATCACCCGGGAGTTTACTCATCTTGGAAAGTGACAGGAAACTTCAAGATCAGAAAAAAAGGGGTCACCAATCCATCTGCCAGGAGGAAAGAGGGGTAAATACAGTATATGTGCAAAACCAATAAGCTAGCAGGAGTTAGTCACATGAAACCTGTTCTGGAATGCTGGTGATGTTTAGATACTTGTCTAAGCATTTTTTTTGTTCTTCTGAGTATCAGAACATAACCCAGGATGTAGAACATGCTCATCTACCTCCCCTTCACAAATCTGCATTGTGGTAACGTGTGTGTGTGTGTATATATATATATATATA